AACCTTGAGATCAAGTGCTTATCCTATGTCACCACACCAGGACTCCCTCTTTTGTAGTTAGGACAGTGTTTATTGGTATAATAGTCAGATTTGAAAGCTTTTATTATTGAAATGCAGTAAATGATTAATGTCTTAAAGAGTTGGTTTTGGTTTTTTCCAGATGTGGATGTGGATAAACCAGATGAAAAGTCAGTTATGACCTATGTAGCCCAGTTTCTGAAACATTACCCCGATGCCCACTGTACTGGTATTGATGGACAAGACAGTGATGTAGGTATTGGTTTTTCTTTAAGTTTTTCTTGATAGCATAATCAATGATAATATTTAGGTTTTTAGGTGTGCTGTTTTCCAAAAATTAAATTAGAACGCATTTTGATATGAGAGCAACTAAATAAATAATAAAAACACAGACAGACGTACTAGAAGCCCTCTGCCAGAGTTGGTTCCGACTCACAGCCATCCTACATGGGTTTCTGAGATGGTAAATCTTTACAACAGCAGACAACCTCCTCTCTTCCCATGGTATCACTAGTGGGTTTGAACCACTGACTTTTTTGTTAGCTGTCAGTCCAGTGCTTGTCCTCCAACACTACTAGGACTTGACGTAAACAGTGGTGTTGGTTATGTGCCGTGAAGTCGGTTCTGACTCATAGTGATCCTGTACAGAATTTCCAACGCTGTAAATCTTTAGAGGAGCAGAAAACCTCATCATTTTACACACGGTAGTTTTGAACTATTGACCTTGAGGTTAGCAGCCCGATTCGTAACCACTACGCTATGGTTACGAATCGGGCTGCTAACCTCAAGGTCAGCGGTTCGAAACTACCAGCTGCTCTGCGGGAGAAAGATAAGGCTTTCTACTCCCGTAAAGATTTACACCCTCGGAAACCCTGTACAGGGTCGCTATGGGTCGGAACCGACTTGATGGCACTTAACAACAACAACAACACTACCATAGCTCCTTTGAAGTAAAGAGCAGATGTCACCAAATTAAGAGGTAAAGATTTCTCTGAATTGTGTTTTGGATATTTCAGAGAATAAAATGTGTGATAGACTCACATAATGCTGATGGACTGAAATGGGGTCAAAGAGAGCAGTTTTGGGACAGTCCATATTAATAACTTGTATTAATAATTCTGGGAAAACCTATACAGGGTCACTATGAGTCAGAACTGACTCAACGGTACTTAACAACACCAGTACAAGATTTGGGAGACAGATGAGGCTTTCTGCTCTGGCAAAGATGTACAGCCTCAGCAACCATACACAGGGTCTGTTTGAGTCAGAAGCAACTGAACAGCAGATAGCAACAACAATAAAAGATGCCTAAGCTACAAGATGGTGCATCAGGTAGACATGCAGTGAGGAGCTCCGTCAGCAACAACACAGAACACCAGACCAAGCAGGCTCAGGGGATGGTGCTAGAACTCTGAACCGCATATAAAGGAATATTTAGAAGCTTGAAGGCTTACAGCTAGGGGAATTTGTAGCAGAATCAAGAAATCCATTGCTTTCTAATTTGAGATGCTCTGCTATTGCTGGAGGCGCCATCTTGGGAAAGACCAAGTTGGGGAAGGATCAGAACAGCAATGAAAGCCTGACAGAACCGTGGAGATACAGGCGTGGACATTCATTTTTTTGTATCTGCTCATTGGTCTCTCGCTGTCTGTAAACCTCCATTCTGGTGACTAGAGGGGATGCCTGAGCAAATGGACACCCCACCCACTCCCCTGGAGGGTTCTACTACACATGTGCACAGATCTCGAAAATGAAAGTGACAGTTTCCACTTAAAACCAAACAGCTACCCCTTGTCTGTCAGTTTGTCTTACTGTGGTGGTTTGTGAGTTGCTGTGATTCTGAAAGCTATGCCACTGGATTTTAAATACCAGCAGGGTCACCCATGGGGGTCAGGTTTCAGATGAGCTTCCAGACAAAAACAGACTAGGAAGAAAGAGTGATGAACTACTTCTGAATATTTAGTCACTGAAAACCTTATGAAT